TCCCCAGACGAGACGCGGACACGTGCTTCCTCTTTTTTAACAAAATGTATTCATCTTTCTCAGAACTGAAAAATAAATCTATGTACAAAACAGGAAGAGATCGGGCTCCCCTCGCCCGCCGCCAACCCCCCACAGGCTTCCCCTGGCGTCACCGAGCCGGGCTGCACCTCGGGGAGGTTCCCGGCGGGGCGCAAGCGGGGTCCCGCTCGGACCTGGGGCCAGTTCGGTCAGGAAGAGGGCGGGGCTCGGGGCTCACAGGCTGGAGGCGGAGCTTCGCGTCCCGGACTCCCGGGCTGGGCGGACGAAGCTCCGGCTCCCGAGTTGGAGCGGGACTTCAGCTCCCTGGGGTGGGGGCTCGGATCCCAAGGGACGGAATTCTGAAGTGCGGACTGTACTCCTAGTGGCTGAGTGGGCTCCTAGGGGCCGGGCTGGGGCGGGAACTGTGTCCCTTGGGTGGACCCCTATGAGCTGGGGGCAGCCCTGAGCAACGCAGTCTGGCTCTAGGTTAAGCGCCTCCGGTCGAAGGAGCTCGACTTCCCAGGGCTGGGACTTAGGGACTGATCAGGGCCCAGGTGAGGTTTCGGTTGCACAGCTGGGATTCTGGGAGAAGGGACCTATTTTTTTTTTTGAGCCGGATTCTCACTCTGTCGCCCAGACTGGAGGGCAGTGGCAGGCTCACAGCGACCGCAGCCTCGACCTGCTGGGCTCAGGCGACCGGACTCAGCCTTCCAAGTAGCTGGAACTACAGGCACGTGCTACCATGCCCGGCTCATTTATTTGACTTATTGTAGAGATGAGGGCTCGCCAAGTTGCCCAGGCTGGTCTCGAACCCATGGGCTCAGGCCATCCTCTCACCTCGGCCTCCCAAAGTGCTGGGATTGTAGGTGCAAGCCACCGTGCCCAGCCTGGGACCTACATTCTAAGGCTGGGGCAGGGCCCTTGGTACCGAGCCAGGGCATGTAGTCTGCATTCTGGCTGCAAGGAGCCTGGGTTCCTGGCAGGGGTGGGCTCAGAGCTGGGGAGTCGGGAGCATCGCTCTGAACTGAGGGGTGGGCGGCCTGGGCCACAGGCTGCTAGGAAGTCCCCAAGAGTTCAGAGGCCCTTGCGCTGCCGCTTGAGAAAAGACAGCGTGTAGTCACTGGGCGTGGACACCTTCTGCTTCTTCATCTGCACCTGCGACTGCGCGGTGAGCTGCAGCTTGATGGCACTCGAGTTGATCTTGGTGGCCACCAGCAGCTCTTTCATGCCCTTCATCTTCTCGCTCTGGAAGGTGAGCACTGGCCCCTCTGGTGGCGGTGATGCCGCAGGCGCTGGCACCTGAGCAGGGCCGCCACCTTCAGGGCCTCGGGCAGCGCCCGGGGCCGTCCCCAGCGGCTTCCGGGGGGGCCCAGACACCACACCCTGGCAAGTGCCAGGGCTCTTGTCCAGCGCGGGCTTCTTGGGCAGTGGGGGCTCCTCGGGCTTGGACTCCCGCCGTGGGCCCCGCCGCCGGCCTTCCCGGGCTTCCTCGCCCCAGGGCTCCTCCGCCTCAGCTGCCTCGGCCTCACGGCTCACAATGCGCACCTTCTGCCGCACCTGGGCGGACAGGAGAGCAAGATGGCAATTTGCCAGCCCACAGCTGACTCCTGGACTCTGCCAGGGCCCTCCCATCCCGTCTGGCGGCATCCCAGTCTGCCCCGGGAGATGGAGGCCTGACTCTCCCACGGCGGCCGTCACCACCTCCACGCGGTCGCCCTCACCTGTCCCTCGAAGCGGCCTAGGGACTGCACCAGGAAGGTGGCCCAGCCCACGTGCAGCACAGGCGTGGGGCTGCCCTCCTCCCACTTGCAGATGCCATCGTAGAATCGCAGCAGGTGGGCGAAGCACTCGGGGTCCTGGAGGGCAGAACCCTGGCTCTGAGTGCCCTGGGTGAGAGGGAGAGGAGAGCCAAGGTCAGAGTCCCTCGATCACCCTCTGCAGAGGGTATGGGCAGGCCCCCCATCGAGGCAATGAGCCCTGGCTCCAGAAGAGGTGAGCACAGGTCAGAGCTCTCTTGGAATCTTTCTTTATAAAGCCCGTCCTCAACCAGGCCTGAGTGAGGGAGCCATCTCCTACCTCCATTCCCCCCAGGATGGTGGGGGACTGCCGGCCATGAAGGAGATGGGCTTCTACCCCATCTACCTGAAAACACAGGGCAGAACCCCTAAGATACACTCACCTCCCTTGCACCCAGGCCCAGGACCTCAGCTACACAAAAGGGAATGCCAGCCAGGCATGGTGTGACTCACACCTGTAATCCCAACACTTTAGGAGGTCGAGGTGAGAGGACTGCCTGAACCCACGAGATCAAGACCAGCCTGGGCAACATGGCAAGACCGCGTCTCTACAATAAATAAAAAATTAGCCAGGCGTGGTGGTGTGCACCTGTGGTTCCAGCTACTTGGAAGGCCGAGGTGGAAGAATCACCTGAGCCCAGCAGGTCGAGGCTGTGGTGGGCGTGAGCGTGCCACTGCACTCCAGCCTGGGCGACAGAGTGAGACTCCAACTCAAAAAAAACAGCAAAAAAAAGGAAATGCCTTCCTCCCGCCCTCATCCTGTGCATGTAGCCCCCATGTCCCAAGGCAGGAAGAGCCTGGCCCAGGTGGGAGGCTGAACACAGGCCAGGCTCCAGCCCTCACCTGGCTCTGGTCCCCGGGCCTCTCCTCGCCGGCCTCCAGCAGGCTGGCTGCTTCCTTCAGCAGATTGGGGATGACGTCATTGGCCACTTCAAAGAACTCCTTGTAAATCTCCTCGTCTTCCCGGCAATAGTTGTAGCTGTGAGAGCAGAGGACACTGTGGTCTCACCATGGGGGCCCAGGACCTGGCGGGGGATGGAGCCCAGGTTTCTTTTCCCAGGGACGGAGGGGTGGGTTCCTCACTCCAAAACGATGGTGTCTGCATCAGCCCAGAGCAAGAGGGGGAGGGGGCACAGGGCTAAGGGTGGAGTCCTACTGCTGGATGATGGTGGTTAAAAGCTGGGAGGATGGCCAGGCACGGTGACTCAAGCTTGTAATTCCAGCACTTTGGGAGGCAGAGGCGAGGGGGCTGCCTGAGCCCAGGGGTTCAAGACCAGCCTGGGCAAATGGCGAGCCCTCATCTCTACAATAAATCAAAATAATTAGCCGGGTATGTTAGCGCACGCCTGTAGTTCCAGCTACTTGGAAGGCTGAGGCAGAAGGATTGCCTGAGCCCAGCAGGTGGAGGCTGTGGTGGCCGTGAGCGTGCCACTGCACTCCAGCCTGGGTGAGAGTGAGACTCCAACTCAGAAAAAAAAGCTGGGAGAGGTGAGGGAGGAAAGCACATGACACCTTAACCAGAGGTCCCCACCCCACCTCCTGGGTGGTGGTGGCTTTGTTGCCTAGGGACTGGATAGAGAGGAGGAGGGACTTGGGACCAGGCCTGCTCCTGGGCAAGGGTGGTTGGAAACGGGTGGAGGGGAAGAACGGACAGACTAGAGACCCTAAGAGGGGATCCTCACTCCTGGATGACAGTGGCCGTGTCAGCCCAGGCCTGCAGGGCTTCGCGCACGTTGCGGTTGCGACAGTGGTAGCCAGCCAGGTACATATAGGGGTAGATGTGCTCGTCCCGGTAGTAGGTCTTAGCTGAGGCAATGCCCTGGAGAGAGGCAGGTGCCTCAGGGAGGCAGCCGCAACTGCCCGGTCACCCAAGAAAGCACCACAAGAAGACCCCCAAAGGGCCCTCCCGCCTCCTCTGGCTGGCAGTTCCCCACCCGCTCGCTGCTCCCCCCAGATCTGCAGGACTGCTTGCTCAGGGCTGGGGCGTCCGCAAGGGTGGGGACCCACAGCGGTCAAGGCCTGGGGTGGGAGGGGCCTTCCCACAGGCACACCCTTCAACACAAGCACTGAGGACTTCCAGTGGAGCCCAACGGCCCCTACCCCCAACTCCCACCAAGTTAACGCCCCTCCTCAGTGCTCCTGCTGGTTGACTTCTGTTATATGCCAGAAAGGACAGAGAGGGCCAGTGGAAAACGCAGGGCTGAGGGGACAGATTCAGGTCCTGTCCCTCCCCGGCAGGGAACCCAGGATACCCCTCGCACAGCCCCAACTACACTGTGATGCACTCAGCTGATACAAAGTAGGATTAGACAGGCAACATCCCCGACAAAGTTTCCTCCCCACCTACCCCTAGTAGACCCCAGAAAGGGGACCCAGCCACTGGTGGGCTCTCCCTTCTGCAACTCTGAGACGGCCCCACCTTGTGGTAGAGGGTGAGCGGGTCTGGCCGGCCAGGGGTGGGCTCCAGCTCTTCCAGATCCGCCAGATTGCCAAGCGCCATGGGGTACCTGGGAAAGGGTCAGAAATCCAGGCTGCCACGAGCCTTCTGGTCCCCCAGGCCCAGCCTGGCCCTTTCCCCGTACTGACCTTTCCAGATGGCCCAGGTCGTAGAGAAGCCAGAGCAGCTTCTAGAAGCCAAAGGAGAGAGTTAGAAGCTGGGGAAGGGGAGGAGGAGGGGTTCTCAGCCTGTCAGGCAGAGGTGGGGAGCCAGAACCACCAGAGCCCTCCCATCCCCGAGGAAGGGCCAGAGCTCAGGAACCAGCCCTTTCATGGCGTCAAAGCTCTCTTGTGACTGCATCAACAAGGGTACCTACGTAATCAATGTTTGTATATCTAACCCTGAATTGTCCCCCACACCTTTATAATAAAATAAGAATAATAAAAAGCCCTCCTGTGGCTCAACTTCCCTCTCCCAGAAGCCCTGGAAATGGCCTGGCCAGGAGTTATGAACCCACTTTTTTTTTTTTTTTTGAGTTGGAGTCTCACCCTGTCACCCAGGCTGAAGTGCAGTGGCATGCTCACGGCCACCGCAGCCTCGACCTGCCAGACTCAGGCGATCCTTCCACCTGAGCTTTCCAAGCAGATGGAACTACAGATGCACGCCACCATGCCCGGCTATTTTGTGATTTATTGTAGAGACGAGGTCTCACCAAGTTGCCTTGGCTGGTCTCAACCCCCTGGACCCAGGCAATCCCCTCGCCTCAGCCTCCCAAAGCACTGGGACGACAGGCTGAGCCACTGCGCCCCGCCTAACCCATTTTCTAAAAGGGGAAGTTAAGCTCAGGAAGGGAAGGTGCCCTGCCCAGGTCCCAGAGTCAGGTCAGCAGCCTGGCCCAGCCCACCCCTGCCGGGGGCACAGCCCTCACCTGCTGCAGCTGCAGCAGCTCCAGGGAGTCAGTGTGCAGGTCAATGGAAGGGTTGATGGCACACACCATAAAGGCTACCTCCATCTTGCGGTCACAGCGCATGTACGATCCTTTCAGGTACAGCCAGCTCTTGGGAAGGAATGAGACCAGATGCCGCGCGAGGGCCCAGCCTGGGCCTCCTCCAGGGAATGACAGCCAGGAAAGGGGCTCTCTGCCTTCGCTGCCTGGTACATGTCAGTGTGATGGGAAGGTGGGGAGGTGGCGCAGGAAAGAGCCCCTCGGGTGGCTTGGGCAGCAGAGTATGAAGGGAACAGGGTTGGGGGAAGGACATGGTACCCGCTCAGCCACACCAGCGTTGACCGTCTGGCCCCGGCGGTCCTCGTTGCCTTTGCCATGCCAGGTGACCTCAGCTGTCTGCTCCCCGTTGGGCCCAAACACTACCCAGGCGTGGTCCTCAGACAGGGCCAGGTGGACGTCCCGGAGCCCTAGGGCCTGACAGGCCCCCACCACGGCAAAGGCCACACCGGAGCTGTCCAGCTTAGTGCCTGTGGAGTGCATGAAGAGGGTCTTCTGGGCTCTGGCCTCAGGGAAGGGGGTAGGTTGTGACGGGCCATGCTGCCTCTCAGTCCCTTCACGCCTGTGCCCCACTCTGAGGTTCCTGCCCCCCATCCCTGCCCGCCCCTGTGTCCAAAGCCTCTCCCTCCCCTTTACACTCCTGTCTCCAACAAGAGACTTTCTAGATCTCTTGTAGCTGACCCAGCCTTTGGCCACATCCCTTCTCTTTCTCTGCAAGCATACTATATATTTCTATGATTTTTTTCTGAGTCAGAGTCTCACTCTGTCACCCAGACTGGGTGCACGCTCACAGCCACCGCAGCCTAAACCTCCTGGGCTCAGGCGATCCTTCTGCCTCAGCCTTCCAAGTAGTTGGAACTACAGGTGAGCACCACCATGCCCAGCTTATTATTTTTTTTTTTTGAGTTGGAGTCTCACTCTGTCGCCCAGACTGGAATGCAGTGGCTGCTCCCAGCTACCACAGCCTCGACCTGCTGGACTCCGGCGATCCTTCCACCTCAGCCTTCCAAGTAGCCAGAATTACAAGCATGCGCTACCACACCCAGCTGATGTTTTTGATTTATTGTAAAGATGAGGTCTCCTCGCCCAGGCGGGTCTCGAACCCGCGGACTCAGGCAATCCACTCACCTCAGCCTCCCAAAGGCGTGGGATTACAGGCTGAGCCACTGAGCCTGGCTTATTTTTTTATTTATTGTAGAGACGTGGTCTGGTTATGTTGCCCAGGCTGGTCTCGAACCCGTGGACTCAGGCAGTCCTCCCACCTTGGTCTTCCAAAGTGCTGGGATGACAGGCTGAGTCACCACACCTGGCTATTTCTATGAATGTAAGGCTTTCCCCACTTTATTGTACTTACTAGATTAAAATGAGGATGCCAAACACAGGACAGTCTGGCCAATGTTCTTTTTTCAGACCCACTAACAGATAATCCTAATTTATCTCTCTTCTGCTCAGCTCTGAAGCAGCCTCTGATTCTTCAATATGCCACACCAGGACGGGGGCCTGTCTACTGGGCATGGCCTAAAGAAGTTCTATGCAAGTCCTAAGTCTTAAGCCCCTGAAGGTCAAGCCTCTGGTCTGTTCAATTGCAAAACATTTTTTTTATTTGAGTTGGAGTCTCACTCTGTCACCCAGGCTGCAGTGCAGTGGCATTCTCATGGCCACCAAAGTCTCAACCTGCTGGGCTCCGGCGGTCCTTCTGCCTCAGCATTCCAAGTAGCTGGAACCACAGGCATGCGCCACCACGCCCAGCTAATTTTTTTGGTTTATTGTAGAGATGACTTCTCGCCAAGTTGCCCAGGCTGGTCTCAGACAGCTCAGGCAGTCTTCTCACCCTGCTTCTCAAAGTGCTGGGATTACAGGCGTGAACCACTGTGTTGGGTGCAAAACATTTTCATAGATGTGACTGTCTCAAATGTAGCCCAATTTTGCCTGTGTTTCCCCCAAATCTGTTGCCACCCTCTGTGCCTCAGGCTGGGCTGCAGAACTCTGGTGGCTGCACAATGACAGGGGTGGGCTGGGCGTGGTGGCTCACGCCTATGATCCAAGCACTCTGGGAGACCTAGGCGAGTGGATTGCTTCAGCCTAGGAATTTGAGACCAGCCTGGGCAACACAGCAAGACCTCTCCTCTACAAAAAAAAAAAAAGAAAAAGAAAATTAGCTGGCTGTGGTGGCGTATGCAAGCCTGTAGTCACAGCTGCCTGGGAGGCTGAGGTGGGAGCAGATCACTTAAACCTAGGAGGTGGAGGCTGCAGGGAGCCGTGCATGTGCCACTGCACTCCAGCCTGGGTGACAGTGTGACCCCCGACTCACACAAAAGAGCAGGGGCGGAGGTGCCAAGGGGGCAGAGGAGGGGTTACTGGCCTTGCAGCCAAGCCCCGGCGTTCCCCCTTCTGGGCCTAAGTTTCCCCAGCTGCGAAGGGAGGGATGGCCACCGCCACCTCCCAAGGTTTCCAGGCCTCAGAAGGCTCTGCCAGCCGTGGAGTGTCGCAAAGGTGGGCCCAGAATTCCGGGAGGGACGCGATCCGCTCTCCCCTGCCACGTGTCGGGCTCCGACCTGTGATGAAGCTGAAGAGCGACTGGATGTGGGCCCGGTCCTTGAAGTAGGAGCGGCTGAGGCTGTTCCAGATGACGTCGGAGACCTTCTTCACCAGCTCCCGGCTGGAGACGCCCCCCTCGCGAGGGTAGAGGGACAGGTCGACGGCGCCCCGGATCTGGGCGGTGAAGCGGGCGTAGAGGGCGGCGATGATGGACAGGTCTGCCACGGGGAAGTAGGTGAGGCCGCCGGGGGGGTCGGGCGCGGGGCTGGGCTGGAAGGTGAGCTCGGGCACGTTGGTGGGGATGACCCGGTTGACGGCCAGGAAGTGCTCCACGAAGCCCAGCACCAGGGAGAGGAGCACCAGGTCCGGCTCCTCGCGGCCCAGCTCG